GTCTTAAATCACCTTTCCTTCAAAAATATGAGTTCACAGTGGTTTTTCATTCAGTCAGTATCCTTTTACTGTTTGCTATGATCCCCTATGTTTTTTAGAGCATCCTCTCTTTCCTCTTTTGTCTTGTGGCAACAAAGACCCAAAATAGCTCTGCTGGAGGAACAATAAAACATTTCTTTACAGAAACACAAAGAAAAAAGCTGATCTGGTTAAGTTCAACCATCTTGTGGGACTTATACTTTTTAAATTACAGAAGCATTTCAGGTTTGACATTTAATATCTATGAGTTTGGAAGAAAGCTGGTTGAACTGTTCCAGTTACTCACCATACATCTATGAAAGCTGAGGTTGTCCCTGAGGATAGTCGAAGTCCAACACCAAGGACAGGTGATGTGTCTATTGAAAGCAGTTACATATATACTGCATGCTGTGATATTGCTTGCTTTTTTCTTACTCTCATTTTCTTTGTGTTGCTTCTGGGAGTTAAGCTTGGATTTTATTTACAGTTGCTTCTTCTCCTTTGAGTTATCCATCACTACCATTTTTTGGCCAGGAGGCCTTCCATGTCTTTCTTTATCTTCTTTTTTTCTTCCCTCCCATATGCTGTGCCTTCCAAAATCCTGAAACTCAGGCTGCCAGGCCCTGAAGCCATTTCTATTTTTATTCTAATTTCTCTTCTACTAGCCCAGACGTCACCCTTAGTTTGTCTTAAGTCTTCAGTTTCTCCCTTCAGGAAACAACTCTATTTCTAGCACATGGCTCTCACTTTCCTTGAATACTAATTAAAAAAAAAAAAAATCTATTTCACAGCTGTATGTGATCTGAAGCCCTTTGTTATGGACCAGCCATCTTCCTTCATTGATCTCTTGTTCTTTATATATTTGTTAAATTTCTATTTTGATTATCCAATTTTTATGTCTTTTTTCTTATATTTTTTTAGGTTTTCCTGTGAACAAGATACTTCTTGCTATTTCTTATTCTGTGTTTTATTGTTTAATGGTTATTCATACTGTGTTTCTGTTTATTTAGGGATACCTATTTAATATGTTTTCCATAAGTGACTCATGAAACATCTTCTTTACTCATTTACCTTAAATTAAGCACATGCATATTTCTAGACAGCTAGTGCCATTTTTTATACTTGTATCACCCTAGGAAGTCTAGGCTGATTTGCTGTCTTCTATTTGCAGTATCTTTCATATTACCTCTGTTCCATTTCTCATCTTCTATAGAATAATTGTGTTTAGGTTATTTTGCTACATGTTATTTAATGATCTAATCTGATGTCTTTTTTCCTCCCCTGCACTTTTATTTTGTTAACATGCTAAAAGTGCAAAGGAACAGAAGTGTTTTTTTACTTAATCTGTTTCATGTGATGCAAAGCACAAATTAAACTCTTAGCAACATTATCAGAAATTTCAGCTGAAAAAAAAAGCTGGCAGACTTACCCATTGGAAGGCCTAGAGCAAAATAATAACAAGAGGAAAAAATATAGGTCATGTGGCTGGAACATTTTTGGATCGATGCTGTGGTAGAAATCTTGGCTTGGCCTGAATTGGCCCATGTTTGGCTATGTCTCCAACTGTATGTCTTTGCCATTTTATAAGAGCTGAATACAGAATGTTGAATTAAGTGGTGAATACTGATTGTTGAATTAAGTGGTAAAACTTCAGAGAAATCAAGGTTCACCAACGCCACAGAATACATAGTAGGAGTTTCCACGTTGACCTAGTTCTCATTCTCATAAGGGCTAGCCATCACAGTCACTTTGTTGCATTTCCTTCAATAGTGTATTCTTTTGAGAAGGAGTTAGTCTCCTTTATTGTCTCTACACCCTGATATGAATTTATTTAGTAGTCCCAGATCCCAGTTCATTGACTTATGTGGTCTTTCCCCATTTCAGGCTCTGTGGCCGCACTGCCACTCTTGCTGTTTTTTATGAACTTACAGTAGATTCAACTGAAGAACAGGACTGTTTATAAAACCATAGAGCAGAGATTGCATTAAAAATGTCTGAGCAGGTTTTCACTGCAGAAAGGACCAAAATGATTTGCTGGGAGTGGGAACAAATGCAACCATGCTTAAAACCATGTTAAATAGTTACAGTTGATTTTTGCTGTAGTTTAACCACAATAGGCTAACATGTTTTCTATATTTGATATGGTCAATTTAAACAGAGTTCTGAATAATTTTTAGTGCATCTCTAACATGTTTTTTCCAGTTTAAACTTGGCTTGGGTATACTTTGGATGGAAAAATTTCCAATCACTGCTTCTGCCATCATGTCAACTTCTTCCTGAGGAGACTTTCTATGCAAAACATGTAATACATCTGCAATGTGGCATTGTTTAGCTTTACTAAATAGTCTGTCTGCCTTTTTTTTTTCCTCCATGGAAGAAATATATCCTGCTTTGATGTATTAGGTCTCTGTGCTTCTTACAGTTTTCCCACTCTTCTTTTTCTATTAATTTAACAGTATCTTTCTGGAGACCTTAAAATAAACCACACTGAAGTTGCCATTGATATAAGAAGACACAAGTCCTAATGAAGTCCATGGAATTTATGTCAGTTTACCCAAAGATTGAATTTAGCCTCTCTGTTTTGTTGGGAAACCAGCACACAGTGCTTTGTTTCATATCTGCAGCAGCCAAGGCCTGGTTTGGGGGAGTTAAAGCTCTATGATGAGCTATTACTAAGTGTATGTTGTTTCAACAGCGTACTCTGGAAATTGCTGTGCAATGTATAGTTTTTAATATGAAGATCAGTTAGTGCACATCACGGATTTGTTTGGTTTGCAGTGATAACTTTGTCTGTTAAATCCTGATTCTTGCTCTTTCTCACAATATTTACAAGATAATTTAAATACTAGAAAGGATTTGTCAAACCACCTGACATCCTCTGAAGTCAGAAATCCTGGGCCTGGAGGAAAGGCAAATGAATAATGTATGAGCAACCTGTTAGCAGACCACTTGCATTCTACTTGTCTAACAGCATACACTAAGCTGTAGTTTATGAAAGAGTAGGAGGTTACTTTTTAGAGATACTATTTTCCATGAATTCTAGAGAGAAAATTTTTTTCAGTGTGGAAAAGCCTTCCTGCAAAACTGGAAAATCAGCCATTTCATTATGTTAGGGGACTTGACTTGAACACTAAAAACGTAATCAAAGATTATCAGGCAAATATCTATCAGTTTCTTCCCTCTTGGGAAGTCCGATGCTTTGCTTTGTACATCTTCGGCAAGGCTCTTTCCAAGCAAAGAAACTAATCGTCATATGGAACTTACATAATTATCACACTGCCATCTCCATTGAAAGGTAGCCAATAAATAATTGCTTTGTGTAAATCATTCCTTTTTCCAAGTTTCTCACTGAGGCTCAGCAGAGCCAGTGAGGACATATATATAATGTAACCCTTAAGCTTTGTGTGGAGCCTTGTGCAGGTAAAGTACTTCAGCCTCAAAGGGAATGTCTGGGAAATCACATATGCTTGTTCTGAGCAAGCATGTGAGAGAAAAGAAGAGACTGGAAAGAGATCTGATAAGGGGATGTGAAGTACAAAATTGGTGTAGCTTTTCTGGACACTGCCAACTTGAAGGAGCTGTTTTACTTTTGAGGCTTGCAAATTCTCAAAGAGCACCAGTGCTGAGTTTCATACAACTGATTCTGTTGACTAAAATAATCTTCTTCTGATGTGTTGAAACGAACTAATAATCTAGTATAGAAAGCAGTGGTGGTGGTAGGTGCAGTAAGGAAACACAAATCAGACTTCGGGGAAGAGACAGGGAAGGGACACCAGAATTATTGAATTTGATTATCAGTAACTTTGAAAAGTTTAGCTAATGAAATCTCTGAGCAAACAATATATTAAACAAACCTCAGGAACACAGAAAATCTCAGAAATTTGCAGATGCTTTATGTGTTGGCATGTTTGCAGGGGCATTTTACATGGTTTTATGAAAGTCGGTCAACTGTGCTGTTCTTGTGTGATGGAAATTCTAAGGTATATTAATGCTTCGCACTGCAGAGCATGCTCAGTAACGAAGTAAATGTATGATGTCAGTAAAGCTGTTATCATGCAGATTAAAAATTGGCTAACTAATAGGTCTTGAATAAATGTATATAGGGAATACTTGTCCAAGTGCAGCATTTTTTGTGAGGTCCTACACAGGGATCTATATGCTTATAGAGTGGATAGGAATGATGACATTTGCTTTGGCAGCTTGCTTGTTTGCTTGGTAATCTAGGCTTGTTTAAAAATGGGCATTTTGATCTAGCAAAATTACAGGTAGCATATAAAATTAGTAGTGTACTTCACAGACTAGTAGTTGTGAAAGCAACTTTGCTGTTGCAGTGAAGATACAACTGAACATAATTTGCCACACAGAGGCAGTGACTAAGAGACGTAACAGTGCTTGGGTTTATGCACCCTTCATTAGATAGAACAAAATGTCAGATGTATTACATTTGCTTTTAATGTTTGTGATGTTTTTACTAGAATTTAGGTGACAGTCTGAAGCCCAGGTAATTGTTAAAGGCTGCTGACTAGAAGGAATTCAGAGAAATTTCAGTAACGCTTAGAAAACCTGCCATATGTCTAGGAACTGGTTTATCCAAAGTAACTTTAAGGGTTTTGCATAAGAGCAACATGTATCTTTATGAGGCAAGAGGGTAATGGGGTCCAGCTGTTCATGTACACAGTAAAAATAAGGGGGATGTGGGTGTGGGGAGAACCACTGTTGTTGAGACCTGTTCACTTCTAATCAGCCATTACTAGAGTGTCCAGGTCAAGCCAACTCCACTACCTAGAACTGCCAATATTTTTATTGGCTCATGTGACTGTCGTGCTTGTCCATTAGTAAGGCAGTTAGCTTGGATAACTATAGCTGAAAGGAAAAAATTAGTTTCTGTCTTGATGTTGTTCATAACTTTGTTTTAGAATCTTAATATTCTAAATTTTTTTTTTTTTTTTTTTTTTTTTTTTTTTTTTTTTTTTTTTTAATAGGGCACCAATGCCTCTGCTCTGGAAAAAGACATTGGCCCAGAGCAGTTTCCAATCAATGAACACTACTTTGGATTGGTCAATGTAAGTACCATTTTCAGTAGGCAAACATACACAGTTTTGATGTTACTTGAACTTTGGTTTCTTCTTTTTTTTCCTCCCCCAATCCTGTTCCAAGGTAGGATTGTGGGTTTTTTGATAAAGTGCTGCTTACATTCCAAGTTTAGGCAAAGTGAGTTGCAATACTGTATCAGATGTTTGAAGATACTTCATACACCCCCAGAGAAAAGTTTATTGTTCTGTGACTAATTCCAGGGTTTAGAACTTACACTTCAATAAAGTGAAAAGTCTATTTTAGCTGTGAAATGGGAGGCAGTGAGTGAGTGATGGAAGTATGTACAAGCTTAGGTACAGCAATCTGCATTAGGAAGAGTTTTATCTGAGAGAATGAATGAGAATGGTGTTTAATTACTTGTTTATTCCAATATAAATATAACAGATATAGTAATTCTTTCCACTGAAAACATTAGTCATTCTGCTACTGAGCAGTAAGACAGAGCACAGCAAGAGTATAATATTAATTTACAGAAACAAGCTTAACAAGATCCACTACAATAAATATATCTCTTGCAAGTGGAAACTTTTACTTTGTATCCTAGTTAATTTAGAACACCATAGGTGTTTTTTTCTGTGAAGTGTCATGGGTGGGTGTGGAAATATATTCCTACAGCAGCTGCATGACAAAATGGCTGGTATGTGACAGAGGCACAGAAGCCAGAAGTTGAATGAAGCAACTAGTTTTATTGTGATGCACAGGGATTAAAACTGTTTTTAATTTTACATGGCAGTTTGGGAACACCTGCTACTGTAACTCCGTGCTGCAGGCATTGTATTTTTGCCGGCCGTTTCGGGAAAATGTATTATCATACAAGGCCCAACAGAAAAAGAAGGAAAATCTCTTGACTTGCCTGGCAGATCTTTTCCACAGTATTGCTACTCAGAAGAAAAAAGTCGGAGTTATTCCACCAAAGAAGTTCATATCAAGGTTACGAAAAGAGAATGGTAAGTGTAAAACTAGAATCATCTTAGACATTCATACATTGATCAGGAAAGTATAAATAAATATTGGGCAATGTGGTCATATTAATCAGATGTTCAGGTTAGATTTGTAAATTGCTTTTAGTACTTTTAGGGGTTTAGATATTAATATTTTAATATCTGTGTACATTATATTATGCTTGAAATAACTGTACCAGGTTTCATAAGTTCCCAGAGGTGGATAAATTGATGACATTTTCACAGCATGGTGGGACAGACTGCACTGTATAGTGAGCTACAGGTAGGAATAGGGTGATGCTCTACTGTAATTTTTAAATTATTTTCTTGTGGAGTAATTATTTTTTGTGGAGAAAGAGACATTGAGGGCAGTTGGCAGTATAGAAACTGTGTGACCTAGGAATGCTACAGGCACCACTAGTCCAAAACACCCTGGAGGACAGGTAACCATATGTATGTGGGGATGTTCAGCATGTCAGCTGTTGTTCTTATTCTTAGAAGTGGTGGGCAGAGTCTTACTTCATGAAGCATCAGGCCCTTTTTGAGTGTTGGGTTGGCAACAGCATATGCCTAATCTTGTAGTAGTTCTGTCTAAGGGATATGAGGAACATTTTGAAATAAGGAAGCCTGCCACACAACTCCATTTCGGTCTTGATTCATATCAGTGTGGGTGGTATGCTTAGAAACAGGGGAGCTTTGAATGAAGAGACAAAGTACAAGTCAAACACCTGGAAGAAATTGCTTTCTGGTGACAACATATAAATGGGTAGACTGTTCATTTTAGAGCAGGCATTTGAAAGTGTGACAAAGTTAGCTCTAATTCATCTAGTGATAAATGCCCCCACACTGTTGGGAATCACTTGTAAGGACTGGATCTTATGTTTTCAGCTCTTTTAAATTAGGGTCACACTTGGTGTGTATTAACCTGCTTATGTGTCCAGGATGAACACTGCAAAGCCGAGGGATCTGTTCAGTATTTTCTGAGGAAATCCATGTGAGATTTTTCAGGAGCAGGGGGATAAAAATACACAGTTCTTGGGAACACAGATTCTTTTTTTTTTTTCAACATGGTGGGCAAATTAAGCCTTCAATGGAGAAGTCTTTACTAAATCACCACTGAGCTATTCTTCCCTCCTCCTGCAAGCATTTCATATCAAAGAGGGCAAGTCTCTGCTCATCAGACTTGTGTGTAAAAAATTAACTTTGTTAGAGGGTGTTATTACTACTATTTGTAGTGGGTTAACCTTGGTTAGCTGGCAGATGCCCACCAAACATGTCTCTCACTCACCTCAGCAGAACAGGGGGAGAAAATAGAATGAAAACAGCTTGTGTGTTGAGGTAAAGTTTAATAAAAAAACCAAAAATGCAAAGTCCACACGCAGAAGCGAAACAAAACCTAAGGAGATTTATTCTCTACCTCCAGTCAGCAGGTGATTCCAGCCACACCCTGGGAAAGAGGGCCTTGGTATGTGTAGGTGTTGCTTCAGAAGACAATTGTCTTAATATTGAATCACGCTGCTTCCTTTCTCTTAGCTATTCTTGCTGAACATGAAGTCACGTGGCATGGAGTATCCCTTTGGTCACTTTGGGTCAGCTGTCCCAGCTATGTGCTCTCCCAACCTCTTGCCCAACCCCAGCCTACCAGCCTTTGGCAGGGGGTGTTGGAGAGATGGTGTTGATGCTGTGTGAGCACTACTCAGCAATAGCCAAAACACTGGTGTGTTACCAACACCCCTCTAACCCCATGTACAAAGCACAGCACTGTATGGGCTGCTATGAGGAAAGGTAACTCCATCCCAGCCAGCCACAGTACACTAGTATGTGTCAGCATCCAACATCTTCAGTTTCCTCAGCCATGTGTCTTACTGTCCAGATGCTGTGATATTCCTAAACATCTGAGGGACTTGCAATATATGGGTGGGAGTCAGTGCTGCCTAAAGTTAGGCATCTAGTCTATGGAATTAATTTAGGATGAGAAATCCTCTTGCTTTCTTCATTGACTGTAGTGGGATCCTACACAGCCAACTCCAAAGAAGAGCGTAACCTTTCAGACACCTGAAGTTAGGTGAGATGAAACCTTCCCCCAAAGTAGCTTCACTGAAGCCAGCATGGCTGCAAAACTGCTCTTCTTTGGCATGATTATAAATACTTTGCTGAGCAAAGCCCAGTACATGTGTTTGGAAAGAAATAATGGATTTAGTTTGCATTCTTGAAGGGAAGGTTATACTCAGCTTTAGAAATCTTGACTCTCTTCACAGATCTCTTTGACAACTACATGCAGCAGGATGCACATGAGTTTTTAAATTACCTGCTCAACACCATCGCAGACATCTTGCAGGAAGAGAAGAAACAGGAAAAGCAAAATGGGAAACTGAAAAATGGAAACATGAATGAAGCTGAAGAGAACAATAAACAAGAACTCACCTGGGTGCATGAGATTTTTCAGGGAACACTGACTAACGAAACTAGATGTTTGAACTGTGAAACCGTAAGCATTGGGATAGATTTTTGTTGTTGTTGACCATTAATAGATAGATACATTTTATATATGTAAATATATGAATCTTTTCAGACATCTGAGAATTGTGGATATTCCTGTAGACTTTACTTCTTGAAGTGAGTATAATCTTTTCTAAACCCTTATTTTTTTAAGCATTACTTGGCTAACCTATGCCAAGTCTTGCTGTACTAATAGCTATCTATACAGTTAAAATCCTTGCTAGTTAATCAATACCCTTCCTTATTACTTTAACTTTGGGAGAAGGTGTTCACATTATTATTCCACGTATAAGTGAAATGTTAAGAGGAATTTGTGTTAATTCAAACCTAGGAATGTGACTGGCATACAGAGGATTTGTTATTAACAAACCATATGGGGTTTTTTTTCTGCTTAATATTTTCTAGAGGATGCTGTCAGTTTGAAGTCTCTTTTGGTTGAAGTATGAATAGAAATTAGTTTTAGTTAGGAAATCAAACTGCAAGCCTCCTATTGATTTCTGTGGTTTTCAGTTGCATGCTCCTACTTAAAGGGAAAAGAAATAATAAATAAAAGTTTCTCTCTATGAGGTTGCTCTGTGAAAGAGTAACACAGACAAGGAAAAAAACCTGGTTTGGGCAGAACTGTGACACTGATTTTCCAAAAAGGTTGGAATGAACCTCATCTAACCTTTGCTTTGTAAAAGGTAGGTGTCAGGGATGAACTAGTTTTCTCAGCTCCTTCTGTAGATGATGGAGATTGCAAAGGAGCTGCTGCAGGAAGCTCTCTCCATCTGTCTCTGGGCTGTTTCATGAAACAGAAAGTTTTTAGCAGTATCAGGTATTCTGCTCCATATAGCTTGTCCTGGCTCCATGGTGTTACTGAGGTATTGCAGTTGTTGGTACAGCAGTCTTGTGAACTGGACCAGCAAACTGATCTGGCCTAAGAATAATGTGTTTTTAACTCAGACCAGTACTGCCACCAGGGAGTTCCTCTAAAGAAAATGCAGCTTTAGGTTATCTGCATTAAGGTGGGAGAAGGTGCCCACAGAAGATATCTTCTGTCAGCAAGCTGAGGTTAAATACCTCATTTTAGAGAGCTGAAGTTAGGTGAGAGAAACCCTACCCAGGTCCTTTCAGGTGTGTAAAAGAATGTATTCTGATATTTCTAATCGTAAAGAATAGGTCTGTATTCCAAGAAAATATGACTTCTTCAGGAATTTGGGTCAGTGAGGGGGCAAAAAAGATGCAGTGGTAGTCAACGTGAAAAAAGGGGTTGTACCAAGTTTGGAACAAGATTGTATAAGTGGAACCACGAGAGAGAGATTGAAAATGGATTCTTTAATCTATATTAACTATAAAACCCCAAGTAATAACAGTAAATTAAAATAAGTGAAAGAGTAGAATTATTTTTTAGCTAACAACCTTCTTTAGAAGATTGTGGCCTAATTCTAAACAGATATACAGTGTTTACTCAGACAAACTGTACTAAAATCAGGATGTGTCCTTGGGTAACAACAAAACTGCACAATAACCTATTTGTAATTCAAAGTGACCAAGCTTTATGGAAAAAATAATGTTAGGTATTGCTGCTGTAGGAAAGCTTGTCTGTAGCTTCCTGTGAATGCAGAAATACTGTATACTACTCAGGATACTTTTCTGGGTTGTTTTATTATTGCACCTTGAAATCTTTGGGAAATAGTAAAATGGGTTAAAAGATATCCCTTTGCTAAAATATTCATATGTAATGCATGAAGAATCATTCAGATGCCAGCAGTTCTTATTCTGATTTTCCACCTACCTTTAGTTTTGGTCTGTATTATTCTAGCTCCAACTAGCTCATCTTCCCCTTTCATTAAATATTTGATGTTCTGAAATCAATAACAAAATTCCTAGCTTCTTTGTGGTATTCAGATGAAACACTACACTTGCCAAAGACTTTTCCAAAGACTTTATTTAACTTCTTTCTTGATATGCAGTGTGTCTGACAGGACTCCAATTCCAGCTGTAGAGACACAATGTTCTCTTAAGCTTTGTTGCTCTATCTTTTGAATTCCAGCTGTATGTTTATACTGCAGTTGATTGCTGCTAGTTGTGTGGTTTTCTGTCCCCTGTGGGTCAAATCATGTCTCAGGGAGGATTTTTGTTTGAAGAACTGCTGTTCATTTTAACTGGGTGTGCATTATGCCTCTTGATAATAACAAAATTCATCCTGCTAAAGGTGTTCCCTGGATTCAGGACTCATATGGGCTGCACTCACCATGTTTATAGGATCTCTGATATAATACAAAGATGAGCTGAAAGTAGTACGTAACATTCACATCCGTAGAATTGCACAAACCTGAGCACGAGGGACTTGTGTCAGAACAATGGACTCACTGAAGTTCTTGATTTGAACTTTACTATCATCTGATTTAGTTATTCTAAGGAAATGCAGTCATAGAAAGCAAAATATGGAGTGTTCATGCAGCATTTTATAAACAGAATTAGTTGTTATGAATATGACTAAATTCATGTGCAGCAAGTAATTCTGCAGTCTTTTCGACTCAGTTGACAATTACCTGTTTGGATGATTTTTTTTTTTTTACATCATCTTCAGGATTTAAACACTCTTAAGTGAAAAATCATTTTCAAAGCAAAAATCAAAATCTGTCATTCTGAAAAATTTTTGGCTTACTTTATAAAATAAAAACTATTTATTAGAATTTTTTTCCTCTCATTCTGTCCAAAAAAATAATGGCAAAACTGAAATGATTTTGCAAAATATTATTATTTTGCCATTTTTACCTTTAATCTTTTAGTCAAAGTTATTGACCAGGAACAACCTTCAGTGGGGAAATGCAGCTCTGTCAGCCAGAAATATAAGGCCAGCCTTCTGAATGCTCACTGGAGAGAAAACTTAAAGTGGTTAAATATGACATTTCTTGACAGATGTTTGTTTGGAAAATATCTTGATTACATCCTTAATAGTGGAAATAATTATGTAGGGCATAAACTATGGTTATATATTGTGATATATTATACAAAGGGTAAATAAAATTCCAGTAAAATAAGAAACTAGGCTGTGTTGCATAACAAGGGGACATATGTAATGCACCTGTCACAGCTAATATAGGGGATGATGGTCCCCCATTAGTGAATAGTAGACTGCAGTCACTGGCTCATGGTTGGTGGGCTTGCATAAGTGGAATGGACAGAAGTTAAAATATATGAAACCTGTATTGGTAGAGTTACTAATAAATATAGTGACATTGGCCTAGAAAAAAATTTAAATGCATTGGAATGAATTGGTTTTGTGTCATTTCTGCAGAAACTGCTCTATCTTTAGCATTTGAACATAGGTATAAACAGTGTTTAAATGTATGGCATTTTACTAAGTCTCTGTTTTACATGTATATTTTTTGCAACAGGTTAGTAGCAAAGATGAAGATTTTCTTGACCTTTCTGTTGATGTGGAGCAGAACACATCAATTACACACTGTCTAAGGTAAACGAATGCATCTCTTTGACAGACAGTTCTGTCTGACTTTGTTAAATTTTCTAAGTCTCATAGGTACAGAAAAGACAAGTAGAATAACATTGGGTTTTGAGCTTTACCTAAGCAGAAGTACTGTAAACTGGATGTTTCCTCTAATGGCAAAATATCCATTAATGTATTTTGGTTTACTCACTTTCTCTTTCAATGTATGTGTTTGAAAGAGAAAAAAATCATCTCTTGGGGAAAATAATTGATTGCCTTGTTATCTGGAAGAATTGCTATGGAGTAATAATTGGCTTCAAAGGGATTTAAGTTTGCTTATCAGTAAGCTTCTACTCAAGTGCTTTGTTGATTAGGACTTATGTGTGTATTAAGTGTATGCTTTGCAAAATGAGTACTAGAGTCCCTAGAGAGCAAAAGAGTTCAGAAGTCTACTTTTCTGCCGTGTAAGTTTCTTCTTCTGTGTCTCATCCTAAAATTACAGGGTCTTTTATTATAAGTTTCAATTCTGCTCCTAGTATACTCTTAACTATTAAACAAATACTTCAGAGATCAAAATAATTTTCAGACTTGCATGGATGACTCATCTGAGAGATTTAAAATATCTGGAGTTTTGGCATTGATACAATAAATCAGTACCTAGATTTAACACCATATGTTACTTCTCTAAGGTAATGATTATCAATTAGTTAAATTACTCTTTCAAGATCCAAAATTGCTACCAAGTTTAAAATTGCATTTAAAAGTGATTCTGGAATGCCTAGGAAGGGTTGCCTGGCATCTCACCCCGAACTGAGAATTGGAGAAAGCATATGAGCTACTAACCATTTCCTGAGTCAGAAAGCAGTGGTTTCTGTGTGGATACCACAACTGTACTAAGTAACTTCTGCCACATTTTAAAGTGCTAGATCCAGTAAATTTCTTCTTTCTCAACTTCTGTTTTGTCTCCTGTAGGACACTGTAGTAGTTCTTAGCTCTCAAATAGTCCACACTGCAGTAACTAGCCTAATTTTAAAAGGTGAGCAAACTGAAGAGTGGCTTTGGAAATGAGTGCATTATTTTCTTTCTTTTTTCCTGTTGTCTTTTTGTCTGTTCATGGTCACTGATAATTGAATCAGTATTGGTACTACAGACTTTTGTTTGCACATGTTTAAGTTCTTCACTGTAGCTGCTATGTTGAACTTATTTTTGTCAGCATTACTTACCTTTCCCTACAGTGTTCAAAGTCAATTGAAATCACGACATGCAAGGAGGCTGAATTGTGCATCTTCTGAGGTCCTTTATAACCTGAATTATTATTTGAAAATACAGTTACTGAAGACTGATCACTGACTTTTTCTTACTCTGGTGAACTTGTTAGAAACTGTTTCTGTACATAAATTACCATGTGTCCTTCAGCATTCTCCAATTTTTAATTTAATTTCTTAGTTGTTAAGCTTCCTGGAAATGTTTTGTTTGGAAAGGCTGTTTTATGCAAAAGCACAGAGCACTTCAGTAAAAGTACCAGTAGTATTTCTACTACTGAACAGCCAGTGGCTGTAGCTTCCGATGTGGAAGAACTGCTTCTGCATTACTGCAACCAACAGGTGAATGGTGGAGTTGAGAGAAACCCCAAGAGGTTAGTTAGCCCTATCTCCGCCTCAGACAGCATGCTTGTCCAATCTGTTCCAAAAGTTTTTTCAGTAGTAGTATCTCAATTGCCTATCCCAGTTCTTCCTGTTCTTAATACCAACAATTTTTTCCTGCTGTGTAACATGAATCTTCCTTGTTTCAGTTCAAGCCCATTTCTACTTGCTCTGTGTACTCAGGACATAAACCAGAGGTTGCTCCCCTTCCTCTTAGCAGCAGCCTTTTACATACAGGAAGAATGTCATCACTTTCTTTTTAAGTTAAACAGCCTAAGGTCATTCCACCTTTCCTTCACAGGCTATATTCTCTAGTTCTCTGCTCATGTTCATTACTCTTCTGCCTTCTGTCCAACTGAACCTCACTCTTGAACTCTTATCTTTCTTGAAATGTAGTTGCCTAAAGTTAAGCACAGTATTACAGCAGAGATCTACACAATCCTGAGAAGAATGGATGCCCTAAAAGTTGTTTATACATCCCAGTATAGCATCTGCCTTTATTTAACAGCATAACATGTTTTTTTCAAGTTTATTTGTCATTTCTTTTTAAAATAAAGGGAAGCAAACCCCCAATTTTTCTTTTCTTAGGGTGGGAGGTGCAGGATGCTATTTACAGATTAAACAGAGAGTCATCATCTATCATCTATTCTGATTGTCTTTTATACTATCAACATATCTACTTCTGTTTAGAAAACATATATTTAGTTAGAATATGTATTTCCTCTCATTGCTCTATGGCATTATGCAGTATCAAAAAAAGTAGAAGTGCTTTTGTGGTTTCTGGTAATAGGAACAGTCAAGTTATTACTGTTTCTGGAGATTTTGCTGGTTTGGTTTTGGGTTTTTTTGAACAACTGCTTTGCTGTGTCTTTACAGCTTTAAGTGCTTCTGCACTGAAAAGGTAGATTAAAGAAAAACTGTGCAACATTTAAATAGAATGTATTTCTTTACTGCTACGGATGAATGTTCTTTTTAGTTATTTCTGTAGCTTTTCAGATTAAAAAGGTCCTTGTGTCATAAGAGGTCCAAAGAATACAAGCCTCTGGCATAGTCTAACTCCACAGGGTAGAACATTGAGCCTGAAGCAGTAGAAATCTGATAACAAATATAGTACATATCCATTATTTTTATTTCCACTAGGAGTTGCAAAGTTTACCAGTCCATTTGATCCTGACTTTTAACTAGTCTGCTGGTGCTTTTTTGTTCCACTAAGAATTTTCTCATCTCTTAAAACAGAAAATTTGTATTATTTATATATAAAAACAATAGAAAACATCTTTCACACTGTAGCATAGAGGCTGTAGAGAGACAGACTGTGGAAGCAAAGGAGCCAATGATAAATTAGCATATCTTGAGCAGGTGTATTTAAAAATTCCTTTCTCCTGTTAAAATACCATAAAAACAGAATGCAGATTGACCTGTTTATGGAATAGGAAAGAGTTAGAAATGTCTTGATACTAGCTCTGCAGTTGTAGAGAAAAGTTCCTCCTTGTACATGCAGACTTTGTGTGAACTCTAGTCAATGATCTGTTGTTTTAACTGTTCAACATCTAATAGAAGTGACACACTGAAGATTCTCAATTGATAAAAGAGCTACTGAGGTTGCAGTGGTAAAAGTCAGCAAAAGCATCTAATTCTCACCTGCATACGTCCCTTCCTCCAAGGAAAGAATTACTGCTTATAAATATGCCACCAGTTTTGTTCCTGGTACAGAAAAAGGAATTAATATGCACTGAATAAGTGAATTAATAGTGCCTCTAAATTCTGTGACTGTGCTTCACCTGCTTTGGAAGAATAAGGTAGCAGCCTGTCAGGTGGAAATAGAAGACAAAAGAACAAATGTTAAGGGACATGTAAGGGAATGTCCCTCAGCTTGTCAAGTATTTGCATATTTCTCTGGCTTTGTCAGATATAATTCACATAGCAGTCAACTTACCATTTAAAATGTTAGATATTATTGGTTTCAGAATAATTAATATATTTTTAAAGGAATTCAGAAACTCTTTGTGTTTAATTCATTTTCATTGAGGTTTGGCATAGAACAAACTGGGATCTATCAAATTTCTACCATCTGTACGTGTTTCTTTATGTTAGAAAAATAGTATTTCCATTGCTTCACTTTGAGGTGGGAAGGAAACTAATAAATTCCACAAGTAAGGTTGTTTGTTTGTTTTTTTTTTAATTGAGACTTTAGACTTTGAAAATAAACATCAGGCTCTTTCCTTAACAGAAGACCTAAAATTTACACAAGCACATTCTACTGAATCTTGCAGCATTATGCTGCATTATATAACTCAGCTCTATTTTTTTAAAAGTTTCAACTCTTCACTTATGATTCCCTGAAAATTACCATGTTTTTCAGAGGAATTGGCTGAATTCAGTTAATTTTGGTCTTTAAATTCAAATATGAAATCAGATATCAGAGATCAGTGTCTACCACTGAAGCAAATCCTTTCCAGCGATCATGTTTTATTCTTGGTTTAGATAAAAAAAAAATATGATTCAAGTTTTGTTACAACTTATCTTTCAAGAGATGTATTTTGTCCTAAATTTCAGCACTTTCTTATCAAACTGTTTAAGACCATATAAAGAAAAAAAAACTAATAAAAGAATTCTCAGTTAGTATAAATATTATTCAGTTATATGAAACGTCTCTTTGTCATGCTCTGTCAACCTTAAAGAACTTAAGACTTGAAAATGGAAAATCCTCCCCTTTTATGAAGTTATGTAAATAACTTCTAATACCTATTCCTTGGCAATCTATATAGTCTTCAGGTCTCCCATCTACCCCTGTGGTGATGATGCCAGGAAGAAATAATCAGACAGAATCCTCCCTTTGCCTTTGTAAGATGTTTCTGGTGCTGCCTAGTATGAGAGTAGTCTGAATTTATAGACAGTGTGGTTTCAGTCCCTGTGCGTGTGAACTGAGGCAGCAGAATGGAGTTTGTTGGGTCTGAATAGGTCTGAATTTGTCTGGAGTTCAGAAATCTATTGGGTACAATGTAGGTGCAATCAACAGGAGACTTCTGTACTTCAGATACATCTGTTTAAGGGTCAAAGTCACAAGAAAACCTGTGTGCCTGAAGTGGAACATAGGTGTTTATGTCTGCATTTACAGTTCTCCAAATACCTGCTCAGCTGCAATGTAACACTAAAGGTGACAAAAAAATTACTGTAATTTTTTTGACAGTTAAGTTTTTTTTAGGTACCTAAAATTCTGCTCCAAAGCATACCAGCACTGTGACTTCCAACATATCTTTTCTGTGAACTGAGAGGCACTGTTAAACCAGCCTTCCTCTGCCTCTCTCACTTCAAAAGCTCGATCCAAGTGTATTTACTTAATTGGGATTTACAACATTTTCTATACTAGCTGATGCTTTCCTTTTTACACAACAACAAGGTACAATCAAATAACTTGTGGATGAAACTGATGCAGAAAACTGAGTTAAATTTATTTCTTCTGTGTAAGAGGATTCAAACTTATATCACAGAAGAACATCATAAAATGTGAGCTATTGGGGGATGACAGAAGTGCACTTGAAGCTGTTGAAGCTGCAAATAGTTTTAAAAGGGATTGGATGGATTGAGTGACTACACCCAAGTCTAGGCAGCCCCTTGACTTGTAAGAGACCAGGATCTAAGTCCCATTTTGACATACCTGACCCTCCACCTATATCATATGGAGGGCCTCAGCTCCTAATACAGGGCTGTCGTAGAAGCCAGATACCTTAAGTGCTGTTGCAAACCCCAGCAGAGTTGCTTTAGATGTTTTAGAAAACTGGGCTCAGTGGAGAGAGAATTTCATCCTCTGTGTCTTTTTAGGGTTCCAGTTAATCAGCCCAAGTGGGGCAAAAGCATTAAGATCCTTTAAGAACTGATAATTGTATTTATTTACAGAGACTTCAGTAACACAGAGACATTATGTAGTGAACAAAAATACTACTGTGAAACTTGCTGCAGTAAACAAGAGGCACAGAAAAGGTAAATGAAGAGCAAACTATTTCACCCCATCCCTCCTGGGCTTTGACAAATCTCCCTGATATTTGTTGTGTTTAGATACCTCAAAGTCTTACACCACAGCTGCATTCTCTGTGTGGGCTGGAGAACCTACAGGCAGGTTCATAGCTATTACATGTTTCTTAGTGTAGAAGCTACTGCTAGTTGGCTACTGTTACTTACAAAGTGCTTTTATAATGCAAACATTTACTCATTAAGGAGGGACAGAATGCCTTGGAACTGATCAGGTCTTTATCATATATTCTCAAATGGTTTCACAGGATGAGAGTAAAAAAACTGCCAATGATTCTTGCCTTACACCTCAAGAGATTCAAGTATATGGAGCAATTGCACAGGTATACTAAGCTGTCTTATCGTGTAGTATTTCCTCTGGAGTTACGTCTCTTCAACACATCTGGCGATGCTGTCAACTTAGATCGGATGTACGACTTGGTAGCTGTTGTTGTTCACTGTGGAAGGTAAGATACATTCATGTATATCTCGAGCTATTCCCAGGCATTTGCCAAGGGCAGAGGCACACCTGACAAAATGTGGGGAGAGTGGGAGGGAGGATGTAAACCCTGCTGCTGCCTTAGCTTGCCTGTGTCTTGGCCTGAACCTCTTAGCCACCCTTCCTCATAGCAGATCTGTACTTGTTTAAAAAATAATGTCTCAGGACTCCAGAAGTCACAAGATGGGCTTAAATTAATGGACCTGTCGCCTTCCTCATTAAAGACCCTGTAAGCCAGGACTCTGTGAGGGTCAGATGCTGCTGGCGTGTAGACCCGACAACAGATCACCTTGGTCTCCTGTCAAGACAATGAAACTTACAGCTTTAATAAAGCTTCTCACATATGGGGTATTGTCAAATATGAAACAAACAGAAAAATCCTTGGGACTCTAGGAATACAACTTGTTGTCACTCTAAGACTTATGTAACTAAATATTCATGGTTGATAGCAAAAAATTTTCCCCCTTAAATTTAGTTCATAATGTTTTTAAAATATCTGCAGTAGTTGATGCCTGCCATGAGCAAATTCTTGAATGTTCTATAGGTTAATTTGCAAATGGTTGTGGCACAGAGGGAAACAACACATCTAGGTTTCAGTTGATGAAGTCTTTGCAACAAGTCAGTAAAAAGGTGAAAGCATTTACCTTGTACCACCAGGTATGGGTTTACTATGTTCTTCATAAGCTATAATTCAGTCTGCTTGCATATAGAAATGCAACTTATCAAAATGGCCTCAAGTAGTATCCTCTAATATTTTGGGGTTTGTGTTTTTACTTTTCTTTCCAGTGGACCGAATCGGGGGCATTATATTACTATTGTGAAAAGTCACGGATTTTGGCTTTTGTTTGATGATGACATTGTAGAGGTCAGTATGCTAAAGTTCATGAGCACAACTTTTGTGTTCATGTTCTCCTCTCCTCTGTTCTCCTCTCCTCTGTTCTCCTCTCCTCTGTTCTCCTCTCCTCTCCTCTCCATTTGGGGTTAAAATTCTGATCCAGATTTGCGTATAGATTATTAGTCTGCAAAGCCATAGTTGGGTTGTAATGTGAAATTTAGCTCAACTCTGTTAGGAAGCAAAATTACAAACAAAATTATTAAGCCTGTAGTTCATACTCTGTAGGAGGGGGTTGTTTTATTTCAGAGCAACATCAAATGTTTTTAATATCAGACTAAGGTTTTAATTTGGAATGTTTTCTATAACTAATGAAATCAATTTAATTAATTAAAACCTAAAATATCCATGAACTATGTTGCAATCCTTGACACTATCACTTGGCAAAATTGGACTTGGTAAAGCTAGCATCACTGTCACATTTTAATTTTTGAACAACTGGGAAGAGACGAGAAAGTCTGGATTCTATAGCTGATCTGGGTTTGTCTGAATGTGAATTACAGCAGGATCTGGCCCGCAGCTATTACAGAATCTGTCTAAGCATTCTGCAGTTCATTCCTAAGCAAACCCTCTATGTGGCACCTTGGCAAAACTGAACTCTTGAGTCTGATTTCCCAGGAATAAATCCAATAGAGAAAGTAGAGACTGGGACATTGGATGGGACATGTCTTGAGAGGGTTTCTGGAAGTTGCAGAAAGATGGAGTCATATTTATGTGTTTTAGAAACGTTCACTACTGCATTCCAAAGAGTGTCTCTGTTATTGGAAAAAGCCTAATCCAGTTTGCTTCACTGAGTCAAACATTCCTACTGATTTCTATGAGTGAGACCAGTAGGGCTTACCCCCTGAACATTACCCTTCCACTGCTTAAATTGCTAACAGAATTTGCTAATTGCTACCCTGAAACAATTAACTGTATTTGTCTTTTGTCTTTATACAGTCATTTAATCCATATTTGGTATTTCTTTTACCTAACAGCACATTGAAGTTTATATTTATCTTGCAGAAAATAGATGCTCAAGCTATTGAAGAATTCTATGGTCTGACCTCTGATATATCAAAAAATTCAGAGTCTGGTTATATTTTATTCTATCAGTCAAGAGAGTGACTTGGCAAACTGTGACAATTGCACACCATGATGCTGCACGCAAAAGAAGGTGATGGCCCCCCTTGAACTGACTTTTACACAGACCACATCTTGTACAGCTGAACAACGATACACTCTGTCTCCTGTTAAATGGTTTATGTGATATTGACTATAACTGTCCTTTTTTTGACATGCGGAACTTTGTTTCAGGGAGGGTGGGGTTGTTTGTAGTTTTTAAGTCTGATTGAAGAGTTAATTGCAGTCAGATTTTAGTGGAATTTATATGGACTAACATTTACAGATAAGATTTGGATGTCAACTGTTAAACCCAATCCAGCTAGAATAGTATTTTATATGGAAGTGTTCATTTCATTTAGGGCAAAATTGTTTAAAACTTTCTAAATGGCTTGGGGTGTATTGATTTACAAAACATTCCTTTAAGTACTTCCTGACATACTTACCCATTTTAAGTGTAAGCAAAAAAATCTGTTTCATGATGATCGGAACCGTGGTTGTATAGGGGATTTTTTTACATGTTACTCTCTGCTGCAGAAAAGATATTCTTCCAAAACCATTTAAACTTTGGATGATAAAAAACTTTCAGTGCATAACCTCTGGACCTAAAATTCACAGAATCATCTAGGCTGGAAAAGACCTTGAAGATCATCTAGTCCAACCATTCACATAGAGGGATTTAAATTACAGTGGAACTAAGTAATTATGTATGTCCAGTCATTTTGTTTATCATGAGATAGTAAAGATGAGGTAAGATTTCAGAACTTAGGGAGCACTAGAATAAAGGGAGTAAGATGACACATATGACACAGAGATAAATTACATTTATAGAGATTGACCTTATCTTTCTGTTGAAATTATATCATGGGTTGTTTACTTAATTGAGTTTGCAGAGATTGTGATACTGTTCACGTATAATATATCCATCAGGACTGAAATTACACAGTCCATTTAAATAAGTGTTGCTTGTACAATAGATGTCACAGCTTGATCCTGCAATTTTCTGAACATCTGTAGGTTCCATTTTAATATCTCAAGACAGAGTCAATTTCTTAGCAACATAACATAATACATAACAACCATTATTTTACACACACTGTCACATTATCATCTCTATCATTTTGGCCAGATTTGACAGTATTTGGGTCACCACAGAAATAGATAGGGCTCTGGAGTGTCTGATTTTAAAAACATCAAAAGACTTAGTGCAAAAGTCTTGGTTTGTGAATTTGGTTGGCACTGGTCATACACTCTCTAATATAATTGCTGAACTCACACACTGGAATTTGACAAAGAATGAATGTAGAAGCAAGTATCAAAAGGGTATGAGAAGGGATTGACAGCAGGTTGAAGCAGTGGTAATGCTGAGTAACTACCTTGCTGGGTTTGACAATTTCCTTTCATTACACAATTCTTGAACTTCAGTAGCCAAATTCCTATTCCAATGAAGTCAACAGCAAAAGCACTATTATTGTCTTCAGGGAACAGACAGTTTTAGTATTTACAAGGAAATAATCTCGAAATTTATTTTTACCTGTTACATTTCATTCACTCTCATTAAGTATTTATTAGACAATGTTGCTTTTGGTCCTCCTGTTCTTTAAGAAGCCTGTCTTCCACTTTATGGCTAACACTCCATTTCAAGAAATGGCTTTTGAAGTGCAGCCAAATCTCATATTTGAGTCTTCTGTAGGAAAGATAATAACTTTTTTTCACTGTAATCTACTCTGAATGTGAAATATCTTTTGTTAAATAATGGTGAAGATGAAGTAATAGCTTCCACTGTAACATCAACTGCAGTTCGGTTGGATTTATCAATGGACATTTTGTAAACTAAGGAAATGTAGCACTTTACACTGAATGAGAAACAGAAGTGGACTTTTCATCTAACATTATTTGTGATTTATCATATTACTATACTGATACAAGAAAACAGACATAGAATGTAACCCTACAGTACATACTTGGGTGAATAATAGTAGTGGTGTACATCGAGCACTCATGTGAATGAAGGCTGGTATGCAGGCTCAAGACAAGCGTAACTGGGATGCAGCTCTAGTTCTGTTATTGATGTTAGACTGAAATGTTCCGTCTCTAATACAGAAGACAGATGTCTAACAGGAGACTTCAACTCTACTGAGGCCCAGGAGCTTTTCCACTGAAAAGCTAAACCTGCACATCCCTCTTTAATGTGTTTATTTATAAGCATTCAGATTTTTCCATACAAAAATACAATAATCACTTGCCTTTTACAATGGGTAAGGTTTCCTCTTGAATGAAGGCACTTTCTAGATCAGCATTAGCCAGTGCTGGTCCAAAGGTCTGTACTTCACAATTTACTACTGAACATTCTTAGAGCATTCTTCAGTTTAAAAACAAGCAACAAAAATATATATATTCTTAAGGCATCATTTGAATTTATATGAAAAGTAATTTTTAAAAAAATAATTTTTAACTCAGTTCAATTTTAGGAAGTGTTTTCCATATGTGAATTGATTTTTTAAATGTTAATAATATTAATTAATATTTAAATGCTAAGGTACAGGATAATAATCTTTAGTTTTCTCCAGCTTCAAGACAGCTCTAGGTTGTAAAACATACAGATAATTGCAGTATGTTATTGAGAGTAAAATTACTGGAATAAGCCTTTCCATAAAGTATGAAAAAAACATTTAAAATTCATGCTAGCCCATGGAAAAAAATCACAGCATTGGTATACCAGTGGTCTGACATCAACTCTGAAAAATTGTGCAATACACATTTTATGCTAACACCAGCTAAACTAGTCTTGACCTCAGTCCAGCCAAAGCTGTCCATCATGGCTATATGAATAGTGCTAGTCTAGGCAGCACAACTTCTCTTCTGTGTCAAATTAAGCACATTCACACTGGTTTTGCAGGATTAGGACCCTCACAGGAACAATCATATGATGTAAAGTATTTTAGTCGATTAAAACTAACTTTAAAAAAAAACATAATCCTTTTTCTCTTATGCTTATGTATAGATTTCCAGTCCCTTATGAAAGAATGGAAAACTATCTAGGTCAATAAAACCTTTTCATCCAGCAGCTAGAGAACAAAAGTGTAGCACAGATGTCTGACAGTATTCTGTGCTTCCCTAAAATGACTGTTTTTGTGGTGTTGGGTTCTGAGTATAGTAGGCCTAATGACATCTGAAGTTTTTTACCTGTTTCACACGCTGTTGCTGAGATGCGTTGTCCATTTATAAATCTTATTACTGTGTTCTTACTTAGAAAAAAGAACATTTCTGACCTGTGCTGTTTTTCCATGGAACCCAATGAAGCACTGCAGTGCTGATGAATCAGTTAACTTAGAGGATGAGCTCAGACCTCAACTTTTATGTTTCACAGAACAGGCTGTCAGGATTTTATGTAAGTTCTATTTTGGGGACATAGCAAAGGGAGGCAGAAGAGGGGAGGGATGGAGAAACTATACCAGTGAAGCAGAACGCCTTGTTGAAATTAAGTCCCAGACTTGCTCCTGTCAATTTTATTTTAATAATTTAGTTAGAGCAGTAGATTACATCTTAAAAGTCTTGTTCCTTTAACAGTTGGAGTAAAGAAAAAAGCAGTAGGTGTTTCCTTGCACTAGATTTAATGAAGATATTAAAGACCTAACTAAGCTGAAACTGAAATTCACATTACATGGTGGGTCCTAAAGTGCTACCACAACCTGTCTTTTCTCTTCAGACATTACATTTCATTCATCCATCTGTTACAGCATCATGTCCTTGGGACCTGAGCCGACAACTTGCAGCTGCCAGTGATTTGATGCCTCTCAGCAGCAGACCCTTCTTGTTTTGACTCTGTTTTGCTGCTTGTGGCTGATAAGTGTGAGCAGTATCTTACAGCAGAATGTGTACTAGAAATTTTAAGAAATTTTGGCTGTGTACTTGTACTTTGCTAGTACCTTTTATCAGTATTTGTTTTAATTTATTTCTCTTTTGTTGGTCTGTTATTGTATTTGTATAATAACTTACATGGTTAATATCAGTTTTCTGTTTTAATTTTTATGTACTTTGATTTTTTAAAATGTAATCAACCTAAGCACTTTAAGCAACAATGTCAATATTGTGAAATTCCAATCAGCTTAACATTTTGCCTTTGTCTTTTTGCTTTTGCAGCTGTTTGCTTGTGATCCAGCATCTCGAATTACAGCCCAATTGCCATTTTTAGGCTTGTAGTCCTAGTTGGGTTATAAATTTGAGAAGCCCAGATTTGTTTGTATGTATTTATGTTCATACCTAACAATGATGCAGTATTTACTGTGTGTCTGCTACACATAGCAGTATGTACCTGATGAGTTGAACTCAGAGTGCACATTTCACAGCCTTTTGTGCACTCTGCATGCTAACTTATCTGAGAATGACTGTAATACTTTAATCTGAGGCACAGTTATCAATGACTGTAATTTAGAAAAGCTCCGCTGCTCACAGGAAAATTATTGGAGTTAGCTGTCAATAAGCTGATGATACAGGTATTGCTCTCTTTGCCCTTTTTTCTGTGCTCTGTACAGTCTCACATATGAATAATCTTAAGAGCTGCATTTATTCTTGGCCCTTCTGTGAGTATTAGGCAGGAGAACAATCTTTTTGCGTCTTCCTTCTCTCCACTTTGGGCTCATATGAAGGGAAATGATAATGAAGTAGGATAAGTGCTGATGTAAAAAACCCCAACACCATCTATCAAAGACACTGGATGCTTCTTAGAGGCCAGCATCTGTGGTAACCATATCAGAAAGTCACTGACTTTCTGTGTTGCTAATGCAAGGGTTAGTCTTAGTTTATAAGACTTCATATTCTCTTTGATCGCTGAAAAGACCAGGGCTTTCTCCTGTTGCATCAATGCTGTTGCTGGGGTGTTTCTTCTCAGTTTAACATGGCGCTTAATATTTAAATAGCCCTTGGGAAACCTCGATAGACACCCTTTTAATTTCTTTCAGTTAACATGCATTACTTCAAAGGGATTGATTGAACCTGTCCACAAGATTTATTCAAATTAACATACTCCTTTTGCATATGAGGTCAAATAACACCTATCAGAAGGTATGTGCCCACCTGATGGGACCATCTGGGCTAAGCCCACACTTTTTTTACACAGTAATGATTCTTTGCCCCCTAGGAGGTTTGCTTGCAAGCTTTGCCTGAATGACTTAATATGAAACCGCACATAACTCCCTTTATTCATGGTTTCAGTGTTGCTATAATTCTCTAATAATTCTGCTTCATTTGGTTATCAAGAGTTGGACTCTTGCACAGTGTAATATAAATTAACTTGTGTGTGCCATTCACAGTGGTCAATTTAGCAGACTAATGCTCATGAAGGCTGTGCAGGTGGCAACTTCACTAAATGTAATAATAAGGAATAAGTAAGTGAGGAGCTGGACTGGCATGCAGCTTCCTAACCCTCAGCTTGTACCCAGCTGAAATTGGTGCTCCATCCTCTAGATAATCTCAAACCTTCCTCTAGGGGGTCCGAAGTGGCAGGAGCAAATCCTTTGTGAAGACACCTTGCAGTTCACCATAACACCTTGCTTGACACACTAAATAATTAATGAATATTTGCAATCCCTCTTTCCTCGCTCCCCAAAACCTCATTAGTAGGTATACATTCCTTAAAGAGGCTGAGCTTAAGCCTCAGCTTTGTATTTGCAGCAGTGTTCATATTTGCAAATGTCCCAAGACAGATATTGTTCACGTACTAAATTGTTTCCTAGTCATCTCTCAACAATCATTCTAACAGCAAGAGCAATGTCTGTGAAGCCATGTTGCAAGTTCAAGTGTTTTTCCTGGAGACAATTTTCTAGCTTTGGTGGATTTTGCTAAAGAAGAACCAACACAAACTCCATAACGTATCGATGACTCTTCAGGAGTAAAGTCACCATATGCTTTATGAATATGAGTGTAGGGTAGGGGGAAGAAGAGGAAGAAATATGGAAAGGGATGGGTTTTCAGAGGCTCTGAATATGTATATGTTTGTAAATATATAGTCCCTCTCTACCTTGTCAAAACAATGCAATCATAATAAAAGGACTTAAATATTTTGTGCTAGTTTTTTTAATGGAGTGAGAGATAGTACAATTACTAGGCACACAATTGGGACACAAAAAAATGCTGAATTTCTAGTAAAGTGTACAATACACGGTGTATGTGTACAGTTGAGTATCTGCTCTTTTTAATCATGTACTTGTAATTAAACCGTGCACTATCTGCAGAACTGTAAGATAAATTTCATGTTGGTTATTAAGGTTGTAACATTAAAAACCCAGTATTTTCTCCTGTTAACACGTTTATATTTTACATAAAATAAACTCCCTAGCTGATCTTGCTTCCATTTTGAATTCATCTGGAGCCAGACTAAGGCTAAACATTGATGTTGGTTGTTTCACAACATGCTTCTGAATGTCAGGTATCTGTATTCTTACAGATGGCAAGACTGCTGATGCTTGCTTTTTATTTCATTTAATGGCGTCATCGCATTTTAAGTGACTTCAGAAAATATTTCACCACCTGCCTTCTAACTGCCTCTGAAGTATCTTAAGGGAACATATTCTGCATGCAGTTAGTGAGTCATCTTGGTGGAATATACATATAACTGTGTGACTGAGCTGTACCTAGTTAAAGCACAGTACTGACCTTGCCAATGTTACTGAGAATAACTAAAAATGAATAGAATAAAAAGCAGCCAGAATTGAACTACCTTTTGCATCAGGGAGCAACAAGAACCCCAGGCCCTTTAGCTTGGGATTTTGTCTGTGGCTACTGGAGTGGGGAAGAATTTTGATAATGAGATCTAAATTTCTGTCAGAGAACTGAAAGTTTGCTGTAGTTTGCTCATTTTCCTGAAGTTATTCATTAGCAAATTAAATTTAACTTTCTCAAATGTGAGGTAAATAAAAGGCTGGAGTTTCTTGCTCTTGTCTAAATGGATTCTTGTTCCTTCAGAATCGTTTAGAGAACTAAAAGCAAACATAACTGTCAAACTGCATGTTAAATTGATAGCAATCGTGCTATAAGATTTATGGCACATCAGACTGTCAAAAGGACTAGGTTGAAAAACACTTTACATCTTATAGTACAGATTTCCTCTCAAATTAAAAACCGTGAAGAACCTTCAAATTTATTCCTAGGTTATTAGAAAATAAGCTTTTAACTGCAAGATGGAGACAGAAATTTAAAACACAGGACATGACTGAAATAAATAAATGGCAAATCCATACTTTTAAAATATTTTAAGGAAATAAAATTTATAGTGCACATATAAAGAAACCAAGAAAAGTTTTCCAAGAGCAGGGTTCACAGTCACTGTATGTGGGCACCACTGGAATTGCTCTCACTTCAGAATTGCATTTTCCCAGAGCTATATGATGTTTACCTGTGTCTCTGTTCCTTATTTTTTCATATCTTAGATCAATCATTTTAGATTAGATTGGGTTTTGTTCTGTGTACCAGATAAACAGAGGAATGCTAAAAATATAATTTCATCTTGATTGAAAACTCAGGTATGTAGGTGAAAATTGTAAGATTCCTCATTTAAATACACTCACCAGACTTGAAGCAACATTTATGAGACATGACTAAATATATGACATCTAAAACCATGTTCCTGGAGATGTTAATTTCCTTGAATGTCTGTGTACAATTTTAAAAATCAATTAAAAATTTTTAATGAAGAAAAATAGGACAACCATTTTCAAGACATATATATATGGTAACAGAACATTTCAATTATCTGTTCTGAAAAATGTCCAGCACTTAATAATTCACTTAATAATTTTATATCAAATAGTAGAAGATTACTCCATCTCCTTGTTAAAGTTCACTCACCCTCACTGCATGACCCATTTGACTGGTCTACTGTGACCCAAGAGCTTCAAGCTTTCCTCAGCCTAAAGAGATTGTAGCCACATGTCCTTACTGTCTCTGGGAGACTTCCCCAGTGCAGGTGGTAGGGCCAGCAACCCTCTTTTCCTGGATCTTCCTGGATCCTTTGTCCCAAGGCAGACCAGACTCTCTGGTCTGCCTCTCTCTCTCCACACATAAGAAGCTTCAATACACATTTTCCCCAAGCTCATCTTTCCAGGAACACATGGTGCACAAGTTTTGTATTATTTCCAGTACAGAATTACTTTGCTTTACATAGGAAAATACTTTAGCAGATCTAGAAAAAAGATAAACAACCATACGTACACTCCTGCTTCAGTTTGCTCATGTGGTCTGAACCTAAGAAGATTCCTTTAATGAATCAATCCAAGTCCTTTTTGAACCATAACAACTTTTCCCTTTTTTTTCCCATATGGTTCCCTTCCCCATATTTTTACATGGCTGAGGGGAGGCACTCTCAGTCCACTTTGTCACAGCAGGTGTCTCCTACTCTGAGCACAATATCAGGGTTCAGATGTGAAGGATGGGCTTGCTGTGAAGGAAGCCATTGGTGGCATTCACTGCTTTAAAGTGTGATCATTATCAAAGTGAACATGCTCTTCCTGTATCAGTTTATGCTGTCACAAACAGTTCAGCTGGTGCTAACAGTGCGTTTAATCTCACCATGAATACAGAAACAGCAGAGGATGCAAAAGTTGCAAGTTGCTGCAGGATGCACAGAGAGACCTACCAGGATCAAATAGAATTCAAGAGGTGTAGACTGATAGACATTTTTTCCCAAATCACTGCAAGGGTAAGATAAAGGCATCAATATTAGAATGAAATTTGGAATAAGACAGGGTGAAACATTATCCTTTGGATTTTATTTCACATACATATGAGGAAAAAAAATCCAAGTCATGTTCCAGAACAGCAAACATGTTGAAACAGAAAATAAAGATTTCACCCAACGTCACAAACTAGACATCACAAATGCTTAGGCATCAACCAAGAGACTACCCAATAGAGACCAAATTCTACTTCAGCATAGCTGTAAAGAAGCTCCAGATGAGTTTGCTGTTTTACAGTGGGATTAGTAATAACAGAAACTGGAATAAAGCTTCTTACAACATCCTCATAAAACTTTCGGTGTGCACAGCAGTGTTTTCTGTGCAGCTGTAAGACATGGTTATGTGTGGAACACTGTAAGCAAGTGGGATTATCTCTGCTCTATGAAAACATGGTTCAGGAGCACAGACAAAATCTTAATGCTTTATTTAGTCACTAATCATATAATTCTCATTGTCATTTATGAAGCATTTTTCATCCTCAAAATAGTTTACCAGACAACTTTCCAACTCTTAATTTGTTGAAAATTTTAGAAACTGGGTAATGTATACAGAAATCCCTATGTATTTCACATAATTACAACGTGATCTGAATCTGGCCACCCCTCAGCTAGACCAGGTTAACTAGTAGGAACATTTTCACCGACTCCTCAGCAGCTGCCTCAATGACCTATTCACTTCTGGATGCAGTTCAAAGTGCAGATCTTGTAGCACATCCCTCCAGTATAACCTGATCCCTTGCTATCTCTGAAACAGCTTGTCTTGCCTGGAATGCACTGGGGCAGCTGAGGTCAGTTTGGGAAGTTTGTCATAACAGCATTTTACTTTCCAAGGAATGGATTAGCTTTCTTTTGCCCCCTAGTAATTGTTAATTATTATAGACTATCATGAAATATTAGGAAAAGCAAGGATGATGTCATGTATTTGATTTATTTATCTTTCTTAATTTTGGATATTTCTAGTTATATTTCCAGATGAGCAAAAGTATTCTGGGTAAGGTCACAGAAATTTTGACTGTTAATTCTACAAGATTAGTAGTTCAGGCAGAGACTAGTGTTAGCTAAGACACCAGAATGGCACTTAGTTGCCACTCAGAGGCAACTTTTTTTTGTCTTGAGGACAAAAAAAGCCCCAAAAGGTAAGAATTCTTCCCTCTAATCTTTACACCTACAATACTTCAAAATGCTCAAACACAGTTTGCTAATTCTACTGCTGACATACATGAGGGTATTTCTGGGCATACTGTATCACTCTGCTGTGATGTCTTTTCAACCAGCATTGAATTAACCACACTTCTGCAATAACATGCTTCAGAGTAGTGTTCAGAGTAGTAGTATTTACCTGTGTTTAAATTATTAAACTGTATTTATTAAACTATATTATAAAATATAACAATTATTAAACTATACTTAAATATTAAATTGTATTTTACCATGGCTTAGAGAACATGGTGCCTGAAATCTAAAAGCTTTATTTTTATGGCAATGTTACACATTTATACTCATTTATTGCTCCCCAGTGAAGTTACAGATGATGAGGAAGTCAATCGGTTTATCATAAAGGAAGAGGTACTGCAGAATACAGACCATGTACAGCCAGTGTTCTCTGTGGTAACAACAGTGAATAAGCACTTGCTGTTTAGCAGGTCCATTCAGTTGTCATGACGCTTGTAGAAGAAATGTGCCTAGAGAATATGTTTCTTTAATAATCTCTCGCTCTTGCTTTTGTGCAGTCAATCCCCACCTCCAGATACTGAGCTGAAAACCAACCACTCCATTCACCGTGCTCTATATGCGGTGGAACTTCAGTTATCCAAAGGTATTTTACTCAAAATCCATGTAATATGAAAATGAGCCATATCCCCCAGGCAAAATACTGTTTATTTCGAAACTTTGTTAAACCTTAATTCACGCAAGCATTTCTTAATGAAAAAAAATAAGATGCAGGTTCCCTGGCACAATTTCAAGTGACATTCTGGCCCCTTTCTGTTGGTTTTGGTTTGTTTGTTTGTTTGTTTTTTTCCCCATAAACCAAAATGTATGGGCTTCCTTATTTTTCCTATTACTTCTGTGATTTTGCACAGCATCTTCTACCATTCTAGCTCTCGTTGAATGGAAGCATTCTTAGCTTCTCTCTCTCAGGGACTGCAATACCAGTCCACCAGCTTCAGTGAATTTTGCAACCATTTACTATCCAAAATCATACGGCATGTTCACAGCACTCATCTTCAGGAGAGGATGTCCAGGAAAGCAGCAAGGTCTATAGACTGAACATGAGTCTGTGATTTCCAATCTCATCCCTATTAAGAACTCATTGTATTACATGGGGCAAATAATGCAATCTCTCTCTTCCTCTATTTCCCACCTAGAAAATGGGTATGCCAATATTTATCTATCTCAGAGAACCATGGAACTTAGGTTGGGGTAGAGGCCACAAACTCAATTACTGCCAAATGCACAATAATTAGGTTATAACAGTATATTTTTTCCTTTTCAGGCAGTCTTCTTTTAATAACTGCAGCACTACCTTCAAGAGGGGAGATTTGCTGACTGTAAGACTAGCTAACCATTATTTCGCAGATAAAGATCTTTACAAAGAGATCAAACAACTGTCCAGAGGTGGCAG